AAACCACTCTGAAGTATCCTAATTCAAATGAAGTTAAAGGGAGGCGTGGTCCCACAACGAAGTGGACGACTTGCGCCCGTGAAACTCGTCAGGCATTTTTACCGGGCGTAGGTTTAGGCGACAGTCTCGCCAGCGTGGTCGTAGCACCCGTCGGATGAGAACTCCACTGTAATTGTACAGCTGTTACAGTCTAAGGAATTCTACCTTAAATGTGATTGAATCAGCGCTGCATTAGTCCAACGTTTAGCGGTTGAGTGCGGTCGCTCACAGTTCCGCGTAAAATGAACACATCCAAACAGCTGCACAGCGCCATCACGAGCCTAATATGAACCAGACGAGCTGACCCACCTAATAAGTCCATTATGCGAGCTAGTAAACTACGACTTCCGTACGTTCCCTAGTTCTTATCAGACTCATGATTGTTAACTGTTTCTTCAGTAGGCTGACGTTTTCGGACGGCTTCGTTCGTAACCATGACTCAAGAACATCCGGGGAGGTGTGCAAAGATCTAGCGAGCATAGAAATATTGAAGTGCAACGTCTGCTCGTCGCCAGAATTTTCGCCATCGATGCTAAACTCTTCTTTCGATGGTCCTGCCAGGAACCCCTGTGGCGCAAGGAGGGAGAGGTGACAACTTGAACTTTGTGCGCGGTCCTGCTGCGAAACCAGAGAAGCCTACCGGGACAGTGAAAGGTGTCCCAAGGTGGAAAGTAGTGCCGAGTCACGGCCTGGGATTTTTCAAGGAGAGCGCATCCCTGGGAGGATAGCCGACTTTTCCCACGTAGTAAATTAGCATGTCTGAACTTGTCACGGAACGTTATATAAGCAGAGACCGCAGACAGTAGCAGAAAATTGACTAAAGGGATCGCTGAAAGGATTCAACTTGGTCGACTTGGCCACTTGAACTCACTGCCTTCAATCACTTCAAATTTCTGTATTTTCCGCTTCCTGTCGTCTGCGCAACGTTGTGTGGCCACTGTAATTTGTCACATTCCAGCTTTTCACGCATGGCAAGTGGCTCACACCAGGGCACATCGTTGTTGGGGAATCCCCAACAGGGGGTCGTATTTGGCCGCTAGGAGAGGGGGGGTCGTATTTGGACAGAGAAAAATTTATTCTGATCGTTGATTTTTCCCGAACGTTGTAAAAGGGGGGGGGGTCGTACTTGCTCATCGTTGAGGGGAGGGGGTCGATCGGACTCGACTAAAATCCCCAGCCAATGATGTGCCCTGACTCACACTTCTCAGACTGTTCTGCCTACGAAAAATCCCATCCCCTGACTTGCTACGTTTTCTTACTTTTCAGTGCCTTTGCAGCCGCTGTCTGTCCTGTCTCTGTCTGCATGCAGGAGTTTCGTAAACGGGATCATGCAGGAAAGGTCAAGTATTTATAATAGTATTCCGCGATAGCTACAAACTGCCACGCAAAACTTTACCGTTAAGTTTTTCGGATAAGGGTTCAGACTCCGTCTACATTTGTGCGGTCAGTCCTCTATTTCTGACGTTGCGACATTCGGGAGGGCAAGTGACAAGTTAATACCGCGCTAGTGGGCGTGACGAGCGACGCTGCGCTCGACGGAGGAGTTTTCCTGCCTCGCCGTTTGGATTTGAGTCAAAGAGATCAAAGGCATGGGAAATTCGTTTAGCGCCAATCGTGAATTTGCCGCGCATGGTAGCACGACACGCCGCGCGCGACGAATGACGGTTGTCTTGTCCGTCTCCCATTCGGGAGGGTTACGTGACAACTAAAACTTTTGGTGGGGGTCCTGCCACGATAGGCCAGAGTGCAGAGCAGTAAGGGACTGCCACTGTCAAGGCATCGTGAGGAACAAAAAGCACGATGCGAGTCAGGAGATGAGTTTTTTCGAAGGGAAGGGATATCGGGGTGGATAAGCCACTTTATGCGTGAAAAGTTGGAATGTGAAAGGTCAAAGTGACCATAAATCGCCATTCAGGCAAGAGAGCGCAGAGAAAAGAAGAAAGTTGGCGCCATTAAAGGGATTGGGTTTTAGCTGTCCGTAGACCATTCGGGAGGAACCATACGGTCGGCGACAACAGACAAGGTGGGAATCGACTGACCCTGCCCAGCGGCAAATCGCGCGTTCTGCCATGTCGTAGGTCTCAATAGTTCACGTCCAACTCTTCGTCGCCATTTTTTGGAATTCGCGGATTCTCTACATTCGGCACTGTTCACTGTGTGCGACCACAGCAAACTCCGCGTATCGCGAGGTTTTCATACGTATCGATTCCACTGAGTCCGCACCAATGAAGAATGAGCGAGCGGAAGAGGCTGGCGCTCGTGTCGCCGGTTTCCCAGATCGATACATATTGAAACCTTTTCCCGGATACGCTTCATCAGAAGAACTTGAATGCCAAACGAACATTTTCGGACAGCGGAAGAGCGGTCGCGTCGCGGTCTTTGCACTGGGAAGCGTTATCCTCCCGATTAGGTTCACGATACACGAGACATTCTTAAATGATACAGATGGCGCGAGCTATGAAACCGTGGAACATACTTCAAATTGAGGCAGTTTACAGGACTTTCTTCTAGTTTTCTGGAATCTCAGAAATTCCTACCACAGACACTTCTTTATCCACGTTGTTAACCGTAACGCTAGTTTATCCTCGAATCCAAAAGAAAACTGCGATCCCTATGTGGAACAGTTATCCTATTGCACCCACTCAGTTGCTCTAGCATTGTGTTTCTAGGGTCCTTGTTATCACATGGAGATAAAGATATTTTCGTCGTCATCTTTGCCTTCAGTCCTAAAATGAACTACCGCGCACCTCCTTTGCACACTGCACTTCATCCTTATGAAGTACCCATTAACCCTGTCGCACAAGATTTATCTCTTCTCTTTTTTCATGAAGGATTCTAAAAACTTAAAAAACCCGACATAAGGTCCCGTACAACAGGGGCTTTAGAATCCGTTATGTTTCTTAGGCATTGTTCACACACTGCGATCCAGCGTTTCTCTAAAACGCGGCGGTTCGGCGAAAAGCTTTCGATACATATCGACTGGCGGTTGGGAGAAGAGCCTGGCGGTTCGGCGAAAAGGTTTTGGTGCGTATCGACGGGCGTTTCGCCAAACCGCGACGTTTTTTGCCTTCGACAAAACGCTAGCTCCATCGCGGTGGCGTTTTTCGCCAGCGAAATCGACACACATCTACTGCTTTTCGCCCAACCGCCCAACCGCGGCGGTTGGGCGGTTGGACGATTGGGCGATTCTCCGATCGATGACTATTTATTTCTTTTCTCCCAACCGCCGTTTCGTCAGGGCCTGGCGACTGTGAACAATGCCTTATTGAATAGCTACGTGAGTCGTCTATGAGGATCTCATCTAAGTGACTCCATGAACGGTCGGCGAACGGAGAAAGGAACATATGTGAAACTACTCATTCACTTTTCAAAATATCAAACACTGCATGTTTCAGCTTCCAATTTTCATGTGAAATCTCCTCCATCGCGCCAGTTTCAACGCGACCCATGCAATGACCGCGATGCGACTGCTCGCCCGCTGCCCGGAAATGTTCGTTTGGCATTTAATTCTTCTCTTCATTGCTCATTGCGCAATCTCGCAGACTTTGTATAATACTCTCCCGGCCTAAGACCCGTTCGTACCTTGCGAATGTGAAGCAACCAAAGGAAGAAAATACAGAAACCGCGAAGAGAAATGCATATGTATCGATCTGAAAATACGAGTTAGGCCGCGTTCATAGCTTGCGACCGTGAATGCTGAAATGCGGAAACTGCAGAAGTGCGGAAATGCAGAAATGACGAAAAGCATTACGTATCGATCTGAAGAAATGCAGAAACGACGAAACTGCAGAAGTGCAAGGGGCATAATGACCGATTTGGACAGCACTTCGGCACCGAGCTCATTTTTAAATTAGCCTAAGTTAGCAATCGCGTAAAACTTGTATGTAGCGGTAGTTTAACATCCTGATTACGAATATGACATTTACTCCTTGCCGCTGGCCGCTAATGGATGACACTACGACTCCCTGCGCTCCGCTAAGCTGAGCCAAGAGGTAATCGTGGTGTCATCCCTTGGCGCCAGCGCAAGAACGCGAGTGTCATAATTGTAATCAGGATGGTAAAACAACCCTTGTGTACATATTTTCAGCGGGTTTGGCGATATAGGTAATTAAAAATGAGCTCGGTGCCGAAGTTGCTGGAGTCCAAACTTCATTAGCCGAAGGCGGAACCTGCAGAAATGCCGGGAAAGGCGGAAAATCGTACGTATGGCATTGCTTTTCGTCATTTCTGCAGATTCGCAGGGCGTGTGCACATTTCTTCTTTTCCTTCTCCAATGAAATACTTCTTCACTTCCGGCATTTCTGCAGTTTCCGCACCGCCTCACTTTCGGCATTTCTGCCGATTCCGCACTTCTCTCACTTTCGGCATTTCTGCAGATCCTGCACTTCTTCCACTTTCGGATTTCGCCAGATCTCCGCACTTATCTGCACTCTTCCGGCATGTTTCTGCCATTTCCTTCAGATCGTACGCCATCGTCAAACTGTTCGTCATGTTTTCTGCATTTCTGCATTTCTTCAAGTCGATAAGTATCTATTGCTTTTCTGCAGATTCCGCACTTCTGCACTTTCCCCACTTCTACATTTTCCGTCAGTTCTGCATTTCTTCACGAACGCAAGCTATGAATGCAGCCTTAATGACGAACTCAACAGCTGCAGGGTTGACGAATCGTGAAACTAGTCTCGCGATTTCTTCAATTCATCAATTCGCACTTTCGCAAGGTACGTATGAACGTGGCTTAATGAGCACATTTTGTGTTGACAGCTGCTTCTGACCTTTACTATTAGTCTTCCTTCTGTAATGGCATTCCACTCGTCGTATCTCTACCGTCGTCTGTTCTGCAAGCTATTTTTCGTTTCTGCATGTTCTTGTAATAGTAGCGTTATTTTTGTTTGTTAGAGAATCCTCAGTATCGTTCAAGAATCTGTGGGAACTTCTGGAAAGAATAGAAACCAGAGTTAGACATGGATCTGCTTAGAGGTGAGTTTGTCAGTTACTATTTGATGCAATACATCTGCTTCGTGCACCTTTTTGTGTGGTCGGATTTCTTTAAGAATCGGAATTGAGCGATACATTCTTCACGATTTTAGATCACACATTTTGGCTAGCAGCAGCTTATGCAGAAGCTATAAGCAGTGCCGTTGATAACTCTCCAACAGCTACTGCTGAGTCTTCTCAAGATTTGTTCCGACTACCAACACAGCAATCAGTGCAGGTGTTCAATCACTTTCGTAGTGTTTCGCTTATCGCATATTTTTCTCTTTCAGTCATCTACCTCCTCGCTGAGCAGCTGCAATGTTTCTGCAAAAAAATTTAGGTAAGTTTTTCCTGTGAACGGCTGAGTGTACAGTAGTTTCAAATTGAATGATTTAAGTTCGGGAAGGAGTTTCTCTACTGCTTACGACTCAGATGTCTCGTCATTGAGTCTCAGCAGCGACTGTGTAGATATGAAGGGTTGGTCAGCTGTTTTTTTCTAATCAACTCTGCTGTTTTAGGACTAGTTGTATTTTGTCTAGATCGAAAAAAATAAGTGTACTAGTATGCATAAAAAGCGGCGATACCAGGTGGTCATAACCATCCAGATTGAAATCTATACTGTACGTACGTATTCAGATGCTGATTTCAAATCTGACTTTTAAATCGGCTGGGCAATTCTAGGAAGGGGAATATGAGCATATTTTCCTCTGCGCGACGCGAATGTAAATTCCTTGAGCTCTGCTCCACTGGCGCGACTGTTAGGTGAGCAGGCTCTCAGGTTTAGCGCGAAGATTCGGTTCCTTTGTGTGCGCTCTGTTTTTGCTTTTTATCCGGACATGCGCCTGGTGCTCGCAAAACGATTTGAACTGTCGTGATTTTCGAAGGCAAATTTCATTTTGACTTCAAGGCGAAGCCGTCGCGTGCCGCGAGCATTTTTTTTTCGTCGAGAGTGTGATGTTCGTGTTTAGGGATATAAACTACGCTGAAAACCACAAAGCGAAATTAGAAATTTCTATCCTAACTTCGAAAAATGTGGAGATTATTGGTCAAGATAGCGGCAGCCAGTTGTCCCAGGGCTGTACAGTCGTCGCTAGCAGGTTTCGAATGACTCGATCCCTGTTGGTTGATGGGAAAACATTCTAACTAACATAACTTCGTCCCGAAAATCTTTTAGCAGACTTGGAATCAGCGTCCGAAGGGCATATAGGAGTGTGCATCTAATGCTGAATGGTCTTAGCGGGCGCTGTTTGTCGACGGGGGGGGGGCATTTTGTACTACCATTGCTTCCCTAGTTCCAGTTTACAAATCTCACCCTGGTAAAACTTGTGAACCCTTGTGAAGCTGGTGCAAGATAGTCTAGCCACCATCCTAAAACGTGTTAATTCGAGAAAAGGCTACCTAGATGGGGCGGCACATCTATGGAAAGCAGAATGCCCCCCCCCCGTCGACAAACTGCGCCTTCTTAACGGGTTGATATCATTTTCTTGCTAATACAGTTTGCCGCCACAAGCAGTGAGTAACCTTTACAGTGTTCACCGGTACAAGGGGCATCCTGGCAGATGACTCGTCATTAGACTGCCAGAACATCCTTCAAGCAGAGGTACTCCTGATTATATCTTTAGATTACTCAGCGTCGAACAGCTAAGTTTTTTTTTCAGTCTACACTCAGAGACGCACTTTACGATTACTGGGTGCTTCCTTCCTTGTGCGAGGTGGCAGTCCGCAGTTGTTTACTACCGCTTTCTGTCAGCGACTACACACGGAAATACAAGTAAACGAAGTCGGAGAGTTGCGATGGCTGGCTCTTCGAGTCCCCGCCTTTCGACGAGCGACAAGGAACCCGCAGACGCGCAACACGCCTGGCGGCCAACGCTACATCTAAGCATGACACGCGCTGCTTGTCTGAACCCTTTCACATTTTGTACCAAGTAAATCGTGTATCGAAATAGCGAGCAGAGCCATGGGAACGAGCGGCGAAAATGGCATTCTTCTACGACCGCGAACCTGCCTGCCTCGTACACGGAAAGGATTCATATGCAGACAGTCGTGAAATTCAACTTGTTCTTATCACTCTAAGGTTGAGGATTGCGTGGTATCGAAGCAGTCCTCTCAAGAAGTTCCTGAGTCATCTTCAACAAAACGAGTCAGCAGCTCCTCTAATGGGAAAGCGAAGAGAACTACTTCAAAACGAAACGCTGTTTGTTAAATTTCGCTGTTTCATCATGACATCATTTCGATACGTACTGACATTGTTCAGACTCGGTCGCCTCTCTTGAGCAGTGATCTCGAACTTATAAACACGGAGGCTGACTTGGAAGCGCACCTCGACGTACCTTCTGGTCCAGTACAGGTACCATTTGATTCATATTCCTTCGTCGTCAACTAAGAGATAATGTTTCAAAACAAGAGTCTCATGAGGTCTTTAACATATTGCGGACCGCTGTACTGCATGCATCTCCGACACTTTGTAATTTTTCATCAGTTTCATCATAAATTTCGTACCTCTTGCCATCGTTTATGAAGAATAGAACCTTTCGACACCGACAATTTTTTAGCAACGTATAATATGGTAGGTAAGCCAACCTAATCGAATAAAACACCTCACAGAATCAAAGTCGTGACACACCATGTGTGTCACGCGGTCCGGAACGTGTTAAAAGAGATTGGTCCCCTGCGCCACAAAGGAATCAGAGAAAAAGAATTTGGCACGTACCGCTTTTCGAGTCAAGAACCGTAGCCCTGCTGACTAGGTGATCAAGATGACCAATTATCAGGTGTCATTCGTGGATATTCCGATTCTTTAGTGGTGTACGGTATGACCGTGAACGAAAGGCTGCGTTCATCCTATGCTTGAGCGTCCGCCAGCATACGGCACCGTTTCGAGCGTACGCCAGTGACTAGGAAAGTATGCAATTTGATCTAGCGAACACCAGCATATGCCAACGATTAGGCAAGTATGGATATCGTTCTAGTGTACACCAACGTAGGTCAACGTTTTCGGGGCAATTGGAACTTGTGCAAACTGCCAGCGGAAACGCCGCTGACACTGGCATACACTCGCGTACGTTAGACGATAACCATACTTTTACGTTAGACGATAACCATACTTTACTAGTCGCTGGCACTGGCGTACGTTTGATAGCTGCCGTGCGCTGGCGTACGGTGACGCAAAGTATGAATACAGCCTTGAGCTCCCTGGAAAGAACTAAATCTTCACTAACTTATCATTGGAATACATATAGTATTTCCGGCTTCAAACAACTCCTCCAGAATGTTGTGAAGAAGTCGACAACTGGCGATTCACTGATGATGCGCTCGCAGAAAAACATGAACCTCAGGACGTGGACCATCTTGAATCAAATGGAGACGTGGCAAAAACAATGGATGGAGTAAGTTTCCATTCTTCTGTCCTTTTACAAATAGCCATGAATTCTGGTCATCCGGTGTTTGTATACTTATACAATGATTCAAATGTCTTTATTCTTTTGAGCTTCTTTTCTTTCTCTTTCTTTATTTTTTTTTCGCTAACGAGTAAGAAATTTAATGGAGTCACGTGGAATTACCAAAATCCATTTGCGTGGTCGCAAGCCCCTGAGACCACATCTGCCTGATTTTATGCCAGAATGGCAGGGCCATCTATGGCTAGTGCTTAATAAGTGCATATGGAACCTGATTGGATGCATTTATTTTTTCACAGCCTTTAATCATAAAGGAATCTAGTCCTGTTACTCATTGACCGAGAACACGTTTTACGAGGGCATTTCGTAGTGCTTGACACTAAGCAGATCCTACTGATTCCACATAAGAATGTAGCAAAAAACCTACTGTTCACAGTGATGCCCCTTCTAGCGGAATCAAAGATGAGCCGCAGAAACGAAGGGGTCTTCCTAAAAAATGATTAGCTCCTTTTCATGGATTCAGAAGCTCTCCGACTATAGAGCAAACCTTCTGACTTGGATTTTTTAGAAAGGTTCGCCTGTCACGATATTCAAGAAGCGCTGCTGTCGCACACGTGGTCGAGACCTGGAAAGCGCTTAGGAGAACCTATTCCACCTTTTCAGTGAGTTTTTCTCTTTCATGTAGCGCATGGTAAGGTCAGTTATGTGAGCAACTCGATCAGCCACGGCGGGGCGGATGCATGAAATCGTGACTATTAGTCAGTTTCGAAGACTGTCCCGAGCCATTAGCAACAAGTAGCGACCCTACTTGTCCTTGTGATGAAGGCATTCCATATTGTTAATATCGTTCATCGTTTTGGACATCGTTTCAAATTAAAGGCAGCCCCGCGCTCAAGTAGTACATGGTCGTCCTTTCTTGCACAGGTAGTTCAGCCCCCAAGCTAGATACTGCCTCACTCTCGCGACTGAGGAGTCGCGAGAGAGAGGCAGTATCTAGCTAGAACCGCTCAAAGTTCTAGTTCTAACGGCTGCTCAGTTGGACCGCCTCACTAGCTAGCTGCCCTCTGACGGAGAGTCGCTCAGTTGTTCCTTGTTGGGACGACAGTCATTATTCGGGACTGCATGTATTTCTTGCTGACGCGCTCGTGCTCGTAAATAATTCTGCTCTCCTTCATCACATTTTATTCATTGGGAGCACGTACAGTCAACAGCAACCCATCTCGTACGGTAAAACGCGTAAAAATCAGGAATGATGCAATTTCTATGGTGCAAAAGCTCGACGCACTTCACTACACTAAACCATGCTCGCTACCGAACCCTAAGTTCGGGCGCCGGCTTTTTAAATGTTTCCTTTTCTTTTCAAGAGTTTTTCCTCTATGTTTCGGTTGTTTTTTGTCTTCTTTTCTTCGAATTCGACGGTATCCGCAATTTCCCCACACGAGGCTACTAGGCTACTCGTGTAATAAATAAATAATTAAAAAATAAATATGATAAATAAATAAATAAATAATAAATAAATATATATATATATATATATATATATATATATATATATATATATATATATTATATTATATATATTATAAATATATATATATTATATATATATTATATATATTTATATATATATATATATATTATATTATATATATATATATATTATATATATGTATATATATATATATATTATATATATATATATATATAATATATAATATATATATATATATATATATATATATATATATAATATACCATTTTCACTTTAAATTCACCCCTTTTCAAAACCAAATTCACCCTTTTCAACCAGAATTCACCCGCTTTTCACCAAATTTCACCCGTTTTTTTCAAACCAGAATTCACCCTTTTTCAAACCTATTCACCCACCTTCCAAATCGACATCGCCCCACCTTCCAAATCAAATTCACCATACTTATTGGCCTGCGCAATCATCTACCTAATATTCATTACCGGACATTACTGCGGGCCCCGCCCCCTCGGCCACGCCCAACTTGCTTTTTCGCGGAATTTTGATATTTTTCCAAAAATTATTGCATTATTGGACTGTGCGTGAAGCCCCCGCCAGTATGAGAGGCTCCGCCCACTTTGGAGAAGCTCCGCCCCACTTTTCAAAAATGCATGCAGTCGCAGTGATGGAAGGCCTTGGGCTTTCATGCTAGAGTTCTCGTTCGTCACTCGCGAACAAAGGAAAATCAGGCAAAGTCTGTTCCCGAGTGTACGAACGAACTCTTAGCATGGAAGCCAAGACCTTATCACTGCCGACTTGCCATCATTTTTGAAAAGTGGGCGGAGCCTCTCCAAAGTGGTGCGGAAAGCCTCTCATACTGGCGCGGGGCTCACGCAAGCAGTCCAAAAATGCATAATTTGAAAAAATATGGCAAAATTCCCTGCGAAAAGCAAACTGCGCCTGGCCGATTGGGGCGGGCCCGCAGTAATAGGCGGCGTGATTTAGTAGATGACTTGCGCAGCTAATAAGTATTGGTTGAATTTGATTTGGAATAGGTGGGCGAAATTCGATTTGGAAGGTGGGTGAATTTGCGTTTGAAAAAGGAGTGAATTTGGTTTTGAAAAACGGGTGAATTTGGTTTGAAAACGGTGAAAATTTGTGTTTGAAAACGGTGTGAATTTAAAGTGAAAATGGGTATATAATATATATATATATATATATCTAATATAATATATATATATATATATGAATATATATATAGTATATATAGATATATATATATATAGTATAATATATATATATATATATATATATATAATAAATATATAATATATATATATGATATTATATACTATACCTTGAATACCTTGATGTCCGCTCTTTCAAGTTGGTTACGCCATCCTTGCAGGACACATCTATGCCATCATTCACGATTTTCTTGCCCATTTGTGCCATCTCCTGTCGCATATAGTTTCTTAAAGGCATCATTCCACCTGGCTGGGGTTTCCCTTGTGGCCCTTTTACACCACGAGGATACCAGTGGTTACGCGATATGTCCATCGGTTGTCGTCAAGACAGCTAACCGTGTTCCAGCCCATCTCTATTTTCGATCATAAATGGTTTCAGATACACATCCTTTACGCCCGTCGCTTCGGCACTTTTCGCGAGCAGGGATCTTTGTGCATTTAGCGTTATCGACACATTTGCCTCGCTTCCATGGCCTTTGCGGAGCAGCTAGTCTTCTCTCCTCCTCTTTGATTGTCTCCATGTCTCACTTCCATATACCACTCCTGCTAGTAGAACATGGTGTGCAACACCTGAGCATCTTATTTGAGTTTCAATCCGTATATTCGCGTGAGAAACATCTCGGGTATTTATTAAATTGTGGCCCATCCCGCCTTTTCGAACGGCCGGCTGATTTCTCTTAGTAGATCATGTATCCATCGTTATTCTGCCAAGATACGTGAACGATGAGACTTCTTCAATGATTTATCCTTTCATGCATAAACGATAGTCGTTTGCTATAGTTGTCTTTCATCCATTTGGTTTTTCCCGGATGTATTACAAGTCCGACGGAGTGTGGAGGCTTCGCTCAAAATATTGAGGAGCTTTTCGAGTGCCACTCGTTCGCTTCAAAACAATCAAGACTGATTCGTCTTGCAAACAATTCAAGTATTGAAGTCTGTTCGCCCATCTATCTCAATGCCACAAGGCAGCTCTATTGCCGCATACAAGGTTCTAAAGCTGCGAGACATAGTTTTGGAGAGTGACCTCGCCTTGCGCGTACGCCACGTTGGCATCTGTACACGATACTGGTTCTTGAGCAATTTTATGTCAGTGTACAGCCGTGTTACATTGGTCGTATTATTCAATTATATCTTTTTTGAATTCCGAACGTGGCAAGTGCGTGTAGTACGGCTTGGTTGTTCGACCGTTGTCAAATGCCTTTTTGAAGTCAACAAAAAGATAACATAGCGGGATTCGTACTCTCGACATCTTTCCGTAAGTTTGAGAAATCACGTGTATCTGAAATCGATGGTGAAAAGCCTTTCACGAAATCCGGCTTGTTCTCGTCTCGTATTTATTAATTGAGTTTCCACTTATGCGGTGAATGATACGTGAGAAGATTTTGAGGTGTTGTGGACAGGAGCGCTATGGGACGATAGTTGGCCACGCGTGTATTCACGCGGTCTTTTTGTGGATCAAAAAATGGTGTTCGAAGCCCAGCCATTCCTTTGGTACAGTTCCCGACGCAGCATTTCCGTGAAAATGTCGGCCAAAGGGCGGGGCGAGTGAAGCTCCTTCGAGACAGTTCAGGTGTTCTGTTCAGAATTCGATCTGGCGCCAGGGCGCTCTTCTCCTTTGGCGTCTGTTGAATAGCCTTCGCGGAAGTGGACTGTCCGGTCTCCAGAGTACGGGTGTTCGCACTGCAAGGTGCTGCTTGCACGGAAGTGTGTATCCTCGTCCTCACAAAAAGTATCATGATTAGGTTGCACCAGCACTTTTATGGAGTAAGAGGTCTTGGAAAAGGTTTCGAATTTTTCTCCTTCCATTTCCTTTTTATTCGCTGACAGCAGAGCCATCTGTCTTGTGCTGAGGATATTCAGAGTAATGGTTTTGAGTCGAGTGTTGCAGTGAATGCTGCTTTTGGTATGCTCGGCTACATTTTTCAGCGCTTTCATCTGTGCCTGTTACGGTTGCGATTATTCACGATAGTTCTTTCTTCACTCTATAGCGTATAGCCTGGTAATATAGTTCGTAGGCACAGGAGTCATATTTGGTTCAATTCTTCCGAGTGGGCCAGGACATTTGGCAGTGTAGCTAGCACTTAAGTCGTTTTTGGCCCGGGTCTGCCGCTTCGGAACGCCGCTCTGAAGCATTTAATTTAACTACATCCCGAATAGTAGCAAATCAACTTTTCGTACTGCTGTGAACAGCTCCTGTTCTGAAGAAAATTTTGTCGTCGGAAGCGAGCGCTTTTAGTCGTTCTTCAGAGAGCACATATTGGAGCACTTGCGAATAGTATG